AAATCAAACTGCTTAGAATTGTACATCAATCCAAATCCGACATTGGTTCTAAATGATGCACGACCATTCAGCGCCTGTAGAACTCCCCAGCAGCCAAATATGCTACGAGTCCAGCAGCTAAGCACATGCGCATAGCGTATTTGCCCCGTGTCCGGTTGCTATGCGAGTCACCAATTCTGCGATACCAAATTAGAGAAAAATGGCAAAAAAGAAAGCAACAAAAGCAAAGAAAATCCCAAGAAACGAAGTTTGCCGGAAAATCGGATGCTGCAAAGGAACGCCTCAAGCATCCTAACCCTTGCTGACTATGGCCGAATCCCGCATTGCAAGGGCTCGACTCACAGTGGGGCGCCCCCCTCTTCCCCTCCGATGTCTTTCGGTTTCATTGGTTAGGCATTTTCTCAACAATGCTGCCCTCGGTGTGCGAGGCTGGCACTGTGGCATGGCCCCAATCCCAAGCCAACAGCGCCCCGAATCCGTCGGCGGAATCGAGTACAATCGATGGTGTATCGTACATAGAAATATGCAGGTATACAAAAGCAAGGAAGCGGTGGCCTCTACTGTCATGCTCCCCGTATCAACGCCTGTACAGGAAACCTAGACTTCTCAGGTGAGCCCCTCCCCCCCTACCCCACCCCACCCTTTCTTCCCACCCTTTCTGGAAAAAATGAAAACAACATCCAAACTGGTGCCATTTGGGAATTCCAATAAGGACAGTAGACTCACGAAACGTTTGCCACATTGACAACAACAATTGAGTAAGTTCTGTTCAGAGTTCTCAGTAGATCGTAACAGAGATGCAGAGTCTGGCTTGGGGAACTGGGATCACTGCCCTATACAAAGGTTTGGTTTGCAATACAATATTGCAGTTGAGCAGCTTTCCTGGGCCAAATGGGGAAACCAAGTACTACAAAATGCTGAGCAACACTGGGCATTAATATCGCACTCACATTCTGGAAAACGTGATCTGTGTCTGGTGCAGCGATCATGATGAGCTGATGAGCTCATCCTCACTCCTGACTGCGTTGGGATCAAGATGGCGATGAGCAGGAATGGGGTAGCCAGGTATGTTAGCAATCACAAGACCCAGAGCCACTCCTGCAGCCTGGAATGCAGTTCCTGCCTGTGCAGGAAGGAGTCACGCCTGACTGAGACCAAGCCACTGACAGGTTTGTGAGCACAGGAGGTCGGGGGGTGAGGCACACCCCCTTCGATGGCAACGGGAGGTGATAGGCCGGAATCAGGGCTTTGGATTAGCAACTGCTCAAATAGATTTGACTGAAAAAATAATGGCTGCTCAGTACGATGCCACAGGGAGTGGCCTGCAGTACCATTGCGGTGGGTCTCCCAGTGCACAGTGCAGCCTCGAGACATCGCTTTTTCTGCCTAAACTGACATGTTGCCATTTCAGTGTGTGCAAATGCCCACAGCAGCATATCAGGAAGGGGATCTTTTGCAAATGCAAACTGTGGTGCTGGGTGGTCATTCCCTTTTCAAGTATTCACTGTATAGAAGGAAGATTGATGGAATTGTTTCCAAAGAATGTAGGAACAAAGAATTGGACAGCAGCCAGCATGGCCTCGACACAGTATGAATGACGTTGCCCACTCCAAAATAAAATCTTCACAAGTTGCCCTCCTTGCATTTTTACCAAAGACTTGGTCGAGTTCCCCAGGCTGCATGCCTTGCAAGTTCTCACCAGCAGGCCTCCATATGTCTGGGATCCAGAATAATGGAAAGCAGCACGATCCACACAGGGCATCCATCCCTCGGAGGGCAGGTCCCTGAATCACCCAGAGCTGTATGGGGCTGAGAATTTGTGTGAAATTCGAAGGTACAAGGGCTGCTGGCCACCATCCCTGTCAGTTGCCAGCCTGTGCAAGGGACTGACGAGGTGTTGAAATGGAGCCAATGATGACATGTTGTGACTGTGCCAGACAGGGAGGGCTTTCAAGGTTGGAGAAAAAGAAACCTGGATCCCCCGCACAGCAAGAACGCCATGGCGCCCATCTGGCACGTGCCAGCCATATGCACCAGCATGCGGACCTGTTTCTACAACCCAGCATATTCGCATTTCCAGCCAGGGGGGTCGATCTAGACCCTTGCACCCATTTCTTATTCCCTTTGTTTTAAGGCGCCGGGTTGAGGGATGCCCGCCGGCGCCCCACAAGTCGGGCACGGGGCGGGGTGGACCAAAAAAAGCGCTCGGGGCGTCACGCTAAGTTACGGGCGGGTTACGGCCGGGTTCGTCGCAACGAGGGCCGCGGGCTCCTTTTTGCTGCCGCGGATGGGCGCAAAGGCGCCAGCGGATAGCCCCGCGATCGGCAGTCCTGCAAGGAATTGGTGCCCTCCGGCCACGAGTGCCCCCGCCGCAGCACCTCTGAGAGCCAAACGCTGGCCTACGCCCAACGTAGACAATCGCCCAATCGCCGGGCGCAGCGGAGCCCTCCCAGCGCCTCCCCTGGCAGAGTTGCTGGATTGGTGTGGACCATTTCTTTCGCCGAATTGCCGGCCCGTCGTGCGTGCAGCCGCACAGGCGGGCCGCGGGACTTCCAGGAAGCCCGCGGACAGCTCACATAGAGTGAGAACACAAAAGCCAAGGGCGAAAAGCCTCCCCTGGCGCTGGCCTCCACGGGCTTCCGCCGATTCGCAGAAACACTTTTGCGACCAGACAAGCACCCCGCGTCGCCTCATTCGCCCCCGCAGCGTCGCGCCCCAAGGCCCCGCCCGCGCCAACGTAGCTCCCACCAGAGATTGGCCAAAAAATGTGACGCCCGATCCTGCCGTGCCGTGCCGCGCCGAGCCATGCCGCTTCCTCACCTTACGGTGACCGCAGTCCGGATCGCAGACCACGTACTTGGCCGCCGCCGCCACTATCTCCTCATCGGGGTGCGGGTCGCGCTTGATGTCCACGCAACGGGTGCCCGGCAGGTCGTTCCCGCACATGTGGTAGCTGCAGTCACACGCCGCCATGAGCTCCTCTGACCGGCCATAGTGGTCAACCAAGACGTCCGCCATTGTCCTCATTGCGGCAGTGTACTTGGCCTCCACCTCCGCCGGCGAGGCGCCCCGCCCGCTTTTAGAAGTTTGAAACAGGAGCACCAGAAACAGGAGGGCGGCCGGGCCTGTGCCCGCCATCTTGGCGCCGGTGGGCTTGTGAAAACCGCCGAGCTTCCGGAGGGCGGGTGCACTTGGGGAGGGCGTGGGGAGTCCAAGGCGCTTGAGCGGCGCTCGCGTCATCGGCAACTGCCTCACGGGGCCGCGGAAATGCGCGGAGGTCCACGGCAAGATCCCACGGACCATCGGAAAAGCTCCAGTCGGCGTCGCCTGCACCCCTCGTCAGCCTCTGTGCCGCGGGCTCTGCGGTTCGGGTCCAATTCCATTGATTACGCCCTTGTCGCGTCATGACGAGGAGGGGCCGCGTTGGCTGGCGTGGGCGGGCATGATCAGTCGCTCTGTCTTGCCATGTGCGCTGTCTTGCCGTGTGGCCGACATCCAGTACATCCCGTCTTGTTTCCGGACACACCAGACCCTAAACCACCGACCGGCGTTGGCCTTGTCAGCGAAGGGAAAGGGATCCACACGGTGACGACAGAGGGACTAATATATTCTGGCGTGGGGGATGGGCAGAAGCCACTTTGCCCGACCAGATGGCGCAACGCTGTGGATGGCTAAGTGCCGTGCGACTGATTGATCGGTCGGTGGGCGGTCATCCACGACGACTTGCCGCGTCATGGCAGCGTCTCAGGAGAGGAGGACACCTTCCCTTTGCCAGAGAGGGGCGTGACTCTCCATGCGAGTGGTCTACAATACGACACACTGAACAAAGCTTATGTACTTCTCCTAGACGCTACTGCGTGGCGGTCATGCCACGCAGGCCGGCCTAGAAACCTTGGAAGGAAACCCGGAAATGGCGCAAAACTTTGCCTTGGCGGCCACTCACCCGTGACCTGACGTGCGCCCCTCAACCCCAGAATCAAAATATTGCGAAAGGCTAGGATTTCAGTAAACAAAGGAATGCACGAATTAATGCTGTGCCACAATGGTACCGTCATCAATTCCACCCCCATGCCACCATTCCAGAGCGGCGTCTAATATCCCCATGCCGGAATACCAGAATTCCGGAACTGACGGCTCGTAGGATTGGCCAGGACCGAGATCATGGACCTTAAGGGCACCCTAGGCCGTGCCGGCCCAGCAGCTCTTGAATTGGGATTTGCCGCCCGTGATCCAGTGACACGGCAGCACTTGAGACAGTGGTATTAATGTGCTACAGTGATATTAGTATATTAATACATTAATATATTAATATACTGTATTTAGGGAGCTGGACCCTTGGGCTCGAATTTGTTGGTGCGTGTGTCACCACATGTTACACACCAGTCATTACCGCTTGTGAAGTGGGCCAAAAAGGCGCTTGAAAAGACACGTCCCCCTTTTTTCTTGGGGAGGGGCGGTCGCGTGTGGTGCCGGTAGGAAAGTGGTCCCCTGTGGAAAGGGTGGTTTGCTCGCCTCCTCTCCCTGCGCTGGCATATTCATCAGGCAACTTCGGGTGCATTGGGAACAGTGCACAACATGGCAGCCTCTGTATTGCAGCATATGAGGCAAGTGCGGTGTCCTGTCCGAGCCCAACAATTCGAATTCCCATATTTATACATATTCAGTTTTGATTGCACAAACACGCAGACAACATTGCAGCCACCGCGTTATTCTACACCTGTCGAGGTCCCTTTTTGCAGCATCGAGAGCGCCTCTGGCTTCGCTCGCCATAGAAACAAAGCCAGAATGCAGAGGAGCACCAACGCGATAGCTGATTGGTACACAGGAAATGACCGAACGCAACGAGGCTTGAATCTCATCGTCAAGCCTTTCAAGCGCAAAACAGCTCGATGCGGCTTGGACTCAGTGCCTTTTTCGGCATCATGGCCTACTCTTATGTGACCACGCGTTAAACTCAAATTTTGTACAATGGAATGTGCACACCCTGCGCCACTCTAAACCTAATCCGCTTCACCATCTAATCCTTCTTTCACCATGACTTCAAGCCGCTCCACTACCTGCTGACAGCTCGGTCGGCCCTCTGGATCAATTTTAATGCAATCCAAAATCAAGCTCCACAAACGGGGAGGACGTGAAGTCGTCGCAGTCGTCGTCCTCCCATTATCCAAGCCGCCCGCAACACAACTCAACATCACCTTGCCCAGGCTGTACACGTCTATTTTCTCCGCCTGGACGCGTGGCCTTGATCTGGTGACCCCGCCTTGAATGCACTCTGGCGCCATGTATCCTAACGTGCCATGTTGCGCAGCGTCGATTGAGGAGGACACTTTGAACACTGAGCAGGTGAAGTCCGCCAGCTTGGCGTTGTTGCTCTCGTCCAAGAGTATGTTGGCTGGCTTGACGTCGTAGTGCGTCACTCCATTACAGTGAAGGTGCAACAGGCCCTTTGCCACGTCCAGGCTGATCCTCACCACCTCCCCGTAGCTCGGCCTTGGCCCCATTTCGGTGAGGTCTTTCAGAGTCATGGGCATCCATTCTTCCACGATGACTGGCTCCTCGCCTGGACGCACGCCTATCACCCGGACGACGTTCGGATGGCGGGGAAGCCTGGCCAAGATCTCTATTTCTTTGTTCATGATCGCGAGGCACTTCTCGTTGCCAGCCACCTTCACTGCCTTAACGGCCACGCTGTGCGTGATGCCGTCATTGTCGCGCCACACGCCCTCCCTCACGCTGCCGTGTGCGCCAACGAATTCCTTTCCTTTTTTCAAAACGGCGACGTTGTCAACGCCTGGTACCTGCAGCACTTGGAGTTCTCTCTGTTCCAACAGCGATTGATACGTCATGTGTTCCGCTTGCCTCGGTTGTTCTGCTGCTACTTCTTCCCCCATTGCAGTCTCCACGTCGCAGCCATACACTTCAGGGATGCAAACACTGGGAGTGCGTCTTCCCCTGCATTGCACGCCACGAGTCAATGGACTGCGACAGATGAACACACAGTTGACTCGGAACATCGGTGGTGGAATGAATTTGCCACTTGTATACTTGAGCTTATTTGGTTCTGATCAACGCCAACGCAAAAGGTGGAAGACCGGCAGTCCACGGTGCTTGGTGTCGAATCAGAACAAGAAAGCTTTGAGGGCATGCATTTCTGCATGCAGTCCTACAGTGCAGCCTAATCTACATGACAATAGTCTTTCCTCCATCCAGAAATTGAATGACTCTGAAAAAGCAAATCTACAGCATCGCAACGAAGTCGAACGTCACATACACAGCACTGTGTCCGGAAGCATCAGATTCTCAAGCCCAAAGAACCACCCTTTCTGTCTAGTGTCAAATAGACCGAACTCAGTCCCACCCCGCGACGGTGTCGCCAATCTGAGGATTATGACAAGAAGCTCTACTTGAGCTTGCCTAAACTTGAATTTGGCGAGAAGCGGCAAATGGGACAGCGCGCCAGCGGACAATTTTGCCTGGAATGCTTTTCATGAGCTTTCGTGTGGAATTGAAAATCCATCCCGCTTTGGTGCTGCCGTAAACTGGACCGGACACTCAAACGAGAATGCTGCACAAAGTCAAGCGTGTCGCCAAGGGGCACTTCTGGCAGGGCAGTTGAGACACTGATGACGTTTGCATTCTCGTCACGATCCACCCAAACCTGAACTACAGTCCTTTCCCCTGCGTTTGCCTGTTTCCAAAACCTTTGGTGGTCTTTCACTAGGTAAAAAACGGCCGAATAACACGTGTTCAATCGTGTACAAAGTTTACGGATTTGGGTTATTTTCGTGTTTTTTGTGTGCAGAACATTGACCGAATGCATATGTATGTGTTGGCAAACAGTGCTATTTGGTCCTTTTTCTGCTAGTGTCTGGCATGCACGCATCCAATTACGCCCACATCCTGTGCTCTGTTTTGACCAGGACGAAGAATCAGCGAGCTTGCAGTACACATAAGTTCGCCTAATGCAAGGCAGCGTCAACTTTGGGACACGGTATGCACTCTACATGTCCACTTTGCGCACGTGTATGTATACGTCTGCGGTCATTGCAAATTCGAGTTTGGCTTCCAAAGAATATGCGATTTGATCCACATTGAAGCATGTTCCTCCCCGTTCAAAATTTTCAGCAATTATCCATTCGCTCGTACATACAAAGCAGATGACGCACATGAGAAAACTATACGAACACCGTCAACCACGATCAGGGGCTGCCGCTTACCATGCGATTTTCCTGCCAATAAACTTACCGACAATTTGGCCGCCATGAAATTTGCCTCACCTTATGAAGTATTGGCAGATTCTGTCCGGCAGACCATTTGATTTTAATCGTCGCAGGAACAGGACCAGAATAGTGAGGAACGCCGACGCGATGATCGCGGTAATGGTGGCCGTGATCGCTGCCATTTTGGTTGACTCTCCTCCCTGCTGACACAACAATAAGTTTCTCGAAGACCTAGCAGAACGGACCGAATGTGGAACGGCTTCTTTGATTCCTTCGAGATGGACGGAGTGGCAAGCGTGAAATATCACTCGCGCATCGATGCGCACTACATCTCGACGAATTTGCGCACACGTGGCATGTGTAGGCGAATAGATTTTACCGCGACCTCGGCGCTTGAAAAGTGGTTTAGCGCTCGTCGGTCGTGTTTCAGACACCGCGTCGCGATTTTCCGTTCACGTGTCAAACATGATGTCGTATCTCCTTGCAAAACACTCTATCTACGTGCAGAGTAAATCAAGCGTGACATGGCCTGCAGGAGGGTGTAAGGAAAGCATGTGGGTAACTTGAACAAAATATGCAGGTTTGGGCGTAGGTGATTATGACAGGGGAGCTGTTGCATGATCTCCTTCTCCCACATCGGAAAACTGTATTGATAAATGCACTGCTCTCTCCTTTTTCCAGTGCTGGAAATGCTATCCTAGTAGGGTGGCATTTCCAGGACTGGTGGGTAGCTCCAGTGCGGAGTAACTCTACAGCAATGGTGGATTTTCAAATACTGATGCTCGACCAAAGAACCATACACAGGCATTTCCATCCAGGCTCACCTGAATAACTGCTCTTCTTCCGTCGTCGCTTGTCGTATTGAACTGGGGATGACACAACGACGGTGACTATATCCATGTAAGAAATGAGAAAACTTGGACCTATTCATGAGCCTGTCGCTTAGGTGCTTAAGTACCAAGTTCTACGCTGGCAGTGTGACTCATCTTCCGTTCTTGTTGCCATACTCCACGACATAGTTTACGAGCGCATTTGTGATAATTATCAGTTGGCATAAAAAAATGATGTATATCTCAATCTTAATGGACTGTCATCATTATATGATCATTGCTTGATCCTGTTTCGGGACATGTGACTGAATGTTCAACTCAGTGCTTTATGGTACTTGCTTGCAGCACATTTTCCTGAAAGAATGATAGCCAGACACGACGCATAACAGTTAAGTGGGGAATGATCAATGGCACCGCGCTGCATCAGAATGCAGACGATACCATCGACTATATTATTCGAATTTCCATTTCCAATAAATTTCAAAATTAGCTTCTGTCAGGATATTTTCTCAAAGATGCTGCACGTGACGCTGATATTTAATACAATACACACAATGTCGTATGCGTTTTCACATGTGCCTATGTGCTCGCAAATTCACCGCGCACACACAGTTTCAGTACTGTCGAAGGAAGCTTCAACGTGTGCTCAGCCAAGAGCAATAGCATCCAGTAATGTTGTTCACCTCCGCCTTTATTCATCTTTCCCATGTTCGTGGCATATTCCACGGTTGTCATAATGATGTCATAAATGTTTTGTGCGCTCTGATATGTTGCTTAACATTGCTACTACGCATTTTCACTTAACAGAAATGCAACTTCCGCTCCAAAGCAAAATGTTTTCGCACATCTTTGCAATGAGGAAACAAGGCCTGAACCCTTAACGCCCTTCCAAGAAAGTGGCGCAAGCAGCAGCAAAGTAGTGGACTTCATATCACCTTTGCCACCGCAAGACTCCTTCCTACCTTGCAGATGTCTTGGAGTTCTTCCCTTGAGCAGCACATGACCTCGCTGAACGATTTCTGGGGTCCGAAGTCGCAGATGACACTGCTGGTGGCTCTGGCATTTGCCGACTCGTTCCCGACAGTTGCAGTACTTTGGATGCCTCCGATGCATCCGCCAGAGGATGCGCACCCCTCGGCTGTGGTGTTCCAAAGCGCCTCTGAAAGTACCGAGGTGATCCTTCCCTGCAGCGTGAAAAGAGCGGCAAAAGAAAACACACTCACCGCCGATTAGCCTCCCAATAGAGCCGTGTTTCGCAGCTTGTGTCATCTGAACAACGAAGCAAGCAGTAAATCATTAAGGAAAATAGAGTTTCCATGTCGCATTGACACGTGTCGCATAGTATCGGCAAACCCCACCGAACATTACCGCCATGCAACGATTCAGAGTGCATAGAATATGCTATTCAAAGAATGACACAGGATTTTGCAACAACTGCCAAATAATTCGATTGAACAACTAATGAATTGAATAATCGGCAATGGGCCACGCCGACTTTCCAAGCCTTACCTGGCACGCCTCTGGCTGCTCCATTTTGTTGAATTGACAGATGAAGGACATTTTGTTACTGCACAGTCGGCTCCCTACGTTGTGATGGGTCCCCCGCGGGTCGACGACCCCCCCTCTGCATTTGCCGCTGATGGACGGGCTTTGAAACCACAGATCAGCTGTCATTTGCTCCAGGACCTGACACCATATTTCCCGAATTCGGATTGTAACTGGCAGCTAAAATGTCAACGGAATTGCAGTGCAGGAATCCATATGCTAGATGCCAACTCGATCTTCGCCAAATCGATTTCGAAAATGTCAAAAATGCGTAACGGACTGCAATAAATGTGGAGTTGTTGCACAGTCCTACCAACATACATATAACAAACACAACCGTATGTATCCTGGACATACCGTATATATTGCATAAATCCCGCACCGTGTATGGGGTACTGCAATATACCATTGTACGCCATATACCACTGTATGTCATATACCACCATACACGCACAAGGCTCCACCACACAATGGACTTCCTGAATGTGTTGCAAATGTATTGCGGTTTTTGGCGTCTTCAGCAAAACGGTCACACCGCAATCGTCAGGCACTACAAGGTTCACCGAGCCACACAAGGTACGCCCAGTCTGCCAATGGTGAGAATTGTCCATTGATAAATATAACTTACGATTCTCCTTTTCGACCTATAGTCTGACGCGTGTCTCTAATTCTTGTAGTTTTGCACATGGGAGTCACTGCAGGGTGGCATGGCCCACAGCACAACAATCACCAGGTTTGCGTAGTTTAAAAATTTTTGCCTGAGTGGCGTATGTTGAAGATGGGACTGCGCATTAAATGATCAGCTACTTGGCTCAAAATTCTGGGAGACCAAACTGGACTCAAGTTTAAACATTTGATCGGTTTGGGTCGAAATCTGAGATATCCTAGGGAGCCACTGGGACGGGAGCCGCTGCGGCTCAGATCCGCGGGGATTTTCCATGGACCTGGATTGTGAACGCACATTTTTTGGGCAAATCGAGGGCTAGTTTGAGGGTCGCTTAAAGGGCCCGGGGCTAACTTTTCCTTGAGAAAGTATAGTTAAGGGTTTTGGGACCCAATCTTTCTGATTTTGAACTCCATTGGTGATTTTGCAGTTGTTATTGTAATGGAATTTGTCTTTCAAATGGAGGACAATTAATCCTGGACGGAGGACGCATACAGGAAATGGTGCTGGTTATAGTGTGGCTGGGTACGGATATATGGTGTCAAAATGTGGTGAAAAAGTATGGAGATATGGTGATTGCTCGCGGGCAACATTTTAGCAAGTACTACTTGATTGGTGTGCTTGTCATCTAACGCAAATGGAATTCGCATAATCTGTTGTTAAATACTTAGTAGCATGCATGCAGTATGTATTGCATTGGCAGTTGAGCAACCATTCCGGCAAAACATGCGGCAAACGAAGTCCAGAACTGCACAGCAAACAAGTATACGGGCACATAAACGGCCAGAGAAGCACCGCAATGAAATGCAATCCATTGCTTAAAATCTCGCAACGCTGACACCAACCGGCACCCACCGCTTCGGAAGAGTCGAGAAACTTCCACGGGTCCCCTGGTCTGAGACCAATCCATGCACCGTCGGGAGGGACGATCGACGCGAAAAAATGCAAGTCGTTCTTGACTTGGTCAACTCTCGGCTCCGCCAGTCGCCCCCCCATGTTGTTGCACTGCTCTCGCGCTTCTTCGAATCCCATCGGTTCCGTTACCAGAATGTAAGGCACGCCCTCGAGTGCGTAACACTTTTTCACATCCGATGCCCTCCACGAGCGGGCGGGACACTCCGACATGGATCCTCGCATTTCCTATCCAAACGTGTTGGCATCTTAGCGCATTACCAACAGGCTCGGTAACCTCCAAAAGCAATAGTCTGTTGCAGTATTTTGCTCCCAACATGCATAAAAACTCGTTCCTTTCTCCTTAAGTACCAACCTGCAATTTGCAGCTGTCGTATCTGTACACCTCGTTGCACACCCTCGTCTTTCCCAGGTTCTCGTTAATCATAGTCTCCACCTGCAATGCAAACAAACACTGCACTGTGCACTTCCGTCTTTCGTATTGGCGAAGCAATGCGCGAAAGTACTACTGCAGTGGCAACATAGCAACAATGCCATGCTGTTATCTCGATCCACCGAGCCTGCATTTCAAGTTCGAAATTTCATCTGCGTACTCTGCACACATCATTGCGCAGTTGTTCACACATCAATTTGCTACGCTAAGTTCTGCTCCAGTCTCTGGCTACAAAGCACTGCCGCAATCTCGATACTCAAAGGATTGACTTGATTTTTTGACCATATACTTCAAAGTCATAGGCACAGCTTTGGAAGAAGTTTCAAAGCCGAAGCTTACATGATCGAGAAGTCGGTCGCCGAAGTCACCAATTATTTCCGGACAAAGGAAGTATGAAATAATCTAAAGTAACGAAAATTAACCATATGTAATATAGGCAGTTTCAGGCGCATGTCAACTAAACACGGCATTCGAATGAAAAATAGGAACACATCCAGCGAGGCACAAGGATTCGTGAGAGGAGGCTTCTCTCAAAGGGGGGCGTCGACTCGAAATCCTTCACGTCGACGAAAATTCGATGAATGCCGCAAGAGTGGTATCAATCTGGCGCGCAGCCAGCGCGAAAGTACAGTGGCAAAAATTGTCTCGTGAGTGTCCCACCTGTTCTTCTCCCAGTCCGTCCTCTACTTGCAGCACCCTCAACGTCACCTCCTTGCCAATGACAGCCAGCAGCAGCTTCCTTTCAGATGACGTCCCGTCAGCGCACCTGGGGCCAAGGGGGAAATGCATAAAGCATATCAACAAACTCGGATAAATTTGTAAACAATCGCGGCCTGCAGCACAGCCCTCGTCTGCCGCTTGCGTCTGTCAATAGAGTACATGCAATGACACGAGAATAAAACCAAAACGAAGGCGACTACTCGAACATTATGCGCCAAAACCTGCAGTACCTGGGCTTCACGAAGACGGGATACGCCACGTTGGTCTTTTTGCCCCTGCTGCCCCATTGAGGGCCTAAAGGCGTGAAGACAGCGCGACTGTCTGGTTCTGGTTCCATGGCGAACGCCAAATACTGAAAGTAGGGCCCCATGTTGTTGAGGGGCTCGCCGCGGCCTTCACCATGGGAAACGCACTAGTTCAGTACTCAAGAGGAGTCATTTGAAAAATTTGGTGAAGACAGTATCAGGCTCTGATGGTGGAGCAATCCCTTACATTGTTTTAGGCATTACCAAGGCCTTTGCACACCTAGAACACCACGTGCCTTTGATATGCAAGCATGCAGACTAGATGCATCAAGTAATATAGGGTACCAAACTTGCACCAGAGAGAAGGGACTATGCGTTGTTCAAACGCCTGACTTGATTTTCACAGCGCAATAACACAGCACTTTCTAAATAGATGACAGCAATGAGAGGCGAATGGCGGATGGCAACATTAGATGAAATCAACGGACATGACCTGTTGCATGGTTGCCCACCAGGCGACCACGGTCAGATCATACAAGTCCACAGCACACTCTTCATTGAAATACAATGAAAACTCTTTGAGAGACCGTTACAATGTCTTCTCTTTCCACTTTATTCTGTTTTGCTACTATTGTTTTATCAATATTTTGTTGTTCACCATCGACAAGCGTTTTGCTGCAAAACAGTATATTGGCAAAAGCGGTGCATGGATTAATACATTATAGCGCATTTCCCTTAAAAGCTGTTGCAAGCATGTGCCAGTGGCGCCCACCGTCCAGGCTGAACCACGCGCCCCCATTTGCGCATGCCAGCTGCCGAGCCAGGCCTTCATTGGTGCCCTCCATTGTAAGGCTGAAGACCGCGGCTCGGCTCGATATTCGCTCTAGAGCACGCTGTCTGATCTCCACAGCCCCCAGGTTCCTTTGAATGGCGTCTTGCAGACGCCCATTCCTTGACCATTCTGACCCTCCTACGTGCGGATCACCTGATGCTTCTGATCCCAAAAGCGAGCACGGGAGGTCGCCATTCTCTGTGCAGTCCTCACCGTCGCTTATGTGGATTATGATCTGCCAAGATGGACAGAATCCCTCAGAGATACGTGGCCAATGGTTGACACAGTGCTGGTGCACATTTGCAATATGTTGGCATTCGAGTAAACGTGGCAGCCTGTGTGACATTTGACAGCACAAGGCAGATGACCATATGGATTTCAGGCTGGGATTCGGGCACCCTCATTGGCAGTATGCAGAGATATTTGCAACAACCTCACGCTCCCAAACGGTTCTGAGGTGGCACGCAGGGTGTGGACACAGAAAGCAGAAACGGTACCATGCATTGAAAGGCAGAACTGTCCTACCCTAACAGGCACGTGGAGGTTACAATGCAGTTCTAGTTCTCCACCGAACAATGGCCGCCCAGAGACCTTGTCTTCCAGTTGGTGGTTCACAAGGCATGTGCTCTTGAGGAATTTGACAGCAGCAAGTTACCTCGTCTCCCATTCGCTTCTCGGTTTTGGACTTTGGTATTTGAAATGCAAGTTTTGGCCAAGTCATAATTTTTTCAACACGTGCAGTCAAAAGGACACCAAGCTTTTATGACACACACCACGTTTGTTCAGAATGCATCATCCACATTCTGGCAACAACCAAACAATCTAGAACCACATTGACGGCAATCATTGTAGTGTACTGCCACAGAATACAGTACGGCACATGATACTTTGCACAACAGTTGCCTAACACATAATCTTGGGTAATTCTTGCATGCGCATGACAAGCTACTCACATTCTGGCAGCTGCTGGGCCCCTTTTCAATCATGTCAAAGGCAGCATCAAACGCTGCTGCATTGTCTGAGCCCTCTGACAGGGTAACATCATCCAACGCATTCTCCAGAGCTTCTATATGTGTCTCGTTGGCATCAAGCAGATCTTCTCCTACTAGGACGGTGGCACGAGCGTTGAAGGCAATGATGCTGACGTAATCATTGCTGAAGTCAAGAGTCCGCAGGATGCTCTTGACCGTGTCTTTTGCCAGTCTCCACAGTGTCTTGGAGTTGTCGTCCCCCCCAAGGTGAAGGTGAGTCCTCATAGAGCCTGGAACACACAGCAACGCTTGAGTTCCGCAGGGCATTGAAAATGCGAACTTTTGACCTTGTTCATTTGGCTCTTGGCATTGGCCGCCACTGCCAACAAGTAGGCATTGTGCGAGAAAGAGAGAGGCACCAAAGAATCCACCACAAGCAATGGAAACGATCCTGGAGTGCCAATGATCATTCGTTTGGTGTGTGAATACAATATAAATAAGCCCAGCATTCATTTATATAATTAATATAATATATATTGATGGGAGAATATAAATAAAATCCAGCATTCGTGACTACATCAAGCAAAAGAAAGCAGGAAGATGTGCCTTGCAGATCAAGCCCATCCTGACACATGAATGGTCAAATTTTGTGACCAGTCAGCCCAACAGGCACGTAGGCGGTTTATTTATGACCTGTACACCCATGAGCGCAATCTAGTACATAGGTGGTGTCATGCAGCCTGTGGAGCACAGTTCCCACAGGACAGATGTTGACGATGTTATTTGTATACAAGATATTTCAGAAATTTCCGCAGTGAGCATAAGATATTTCAGGATACATCTTATGTACTGCTAGCATTTTGGGTGCATCACTCACTTCCAGCCCGCACAATGATGACCACCTTCTTTGGCTCAGATGTCGCCATTTTGTACCAGTCTCGAAATCGCTGCAGTGGGAAATGCCACGTCGACTTGATCAGCACCTTTTCACATCAGTACAGAACAAATACTTGTGTGGCAGCAAATTTGCACGAATTATCAACCAATGCTGAAGGCCCAAATCGCCACACATGGAGTACTACTTAAGGCTTAAGGTCGCGTTGTCTGCTGCAACGCTCCCACAAATGGTCATATGACTTTCTTCATATATTCTTCTGCCGAGGGAACACCCTTTTTCACCTAGCCATTCTTATTGCACCCAATCTCTTCATGTGCCAAAATGCCGTTGACTTTTGCCGCCCCAGAGGCCATTCCCATTTTCCTCGTCATTTGATTGGGATGATGGACATCACCTTATCTGCACCAATCGGAGGGGGTGGAGGCGCCTCCTTTGGTTGCCTTGATGGTGGCAATGGAGGTCCAAAACTCCTGGACCAGAAATCTGGGCCTAGAAGTTAAATATCATCCGCCCAATTGATATTTAAGCAGATGTTTCATGTATAAAGCTCAGCAAGCAAGCCCACCGATTTGGTCAGTAGCAACTTTTTTGTCATTGCATTTCTTTATGAGGACTGCACCAACCGTTGTTCTGAATGCCATGGAAATTTGGACAGCGGCTCTCTTTTGCCACTGCAAGAGGAGTGTTCCTCACCATTGCTAAAAGAGCCGGTTGCTGCAACGACGTTGATATTGCAACGCATTCTAGCCAGAGGGTCATTGCCACAAAGTACTGCCAAATCTGGAGCTCCCAATGGGTTGGCTTGATGCTTTGCCTGTATGCTCCAAACTCACAGGGGCAGTCTTAGCCAGTGATTTCCTACAAACCGCCGTCTCCATGACAGGGAAGTAAGATGCCAATGTCAGAAAGGAGAACTGACTTGCGACAAGCAAATCGAGTTCCAATTATTGGCTGTTTTCAAGCTGATTATGATTCATGCGCAGGTGAGCTTAGAGTGGGCGGCTCACCGGATCATATCGTCGGCAGTCTCCATCCTCGTCTCGAGGGTGCGCAAGCATGGGCCAAATCCTGCTCAGATGCCACACACGATTGGGCGCAAAGGGGAACATAGTACTGGAGAAATACGGCGCGCCAAATTTTGCAAACTACCACAACAGCAGATGAAGGCGTGAAGGAAAATATGACCAGATGAAACGAAATGAATATCAAGAAAAAAGTTACTTAAAAAAGGCTGGGGAATTTCGCTTTGAAAACGACGATAAAACGCCACCCTGGAAATGGGGCGTGTATTTACTGCATGCTAGTGAACCAATGTACTGGCAATGAATGTGCACATCCGAAGCCCGATTGCTCGTACAGCGTCCGTCTGTCAATTCTCAGAGATCTCGCAGAGCTTGCCATGAAGACATTCCGTATCAAACAGTGCAGGAATATTACCGTAGGTCGTCAAGAAAGGAAGCAGCCAAGGAAAAACATGACAAGATGAAGACTGAAGGCCGAAGTGGACATCACAGAAGTTCACAAAGCAAACTAGAAAGAGAGCGCGAGAATATTGCTAATACATCTATACTCTAGTTTCAGTAATCTTGACAATAGCATTCGCATTTGAATACAGGAAACGCAAAAAATACGCGAAAAACAGGGAATAAAAGCACTGCTGGCAGAATACCACGTTGGTGCAGCGAAGGTCCGAAGGAATGCTGTTCTATTTAAATCACTGGTCAGCGATGACTATATTCACAATGCAGACTTCAGCAATGACAGCGTAGTGCTTTGGGCTTGCCTCATTATGCCCGACCGAGCTGACGCAATGAAAGTGGCTCGGAGGTGCTCTCCGCTGTAATTGTTGGCCAGCTTGAATGTCTCTTCCATGCCCTGATTCGCAGCAGGAGCAAACACTTCAGCAAGTTGTTGGACTGAAATGCTGAACTGATGTACTACTCATAAACAATTGCTGACAATAAATGCCGATTCTAATTCTGTTGTTTTATGCAGTAATGTCACAACAGTGAATTCAAGCTGTGGATCAACCAATTGGAATCAAATGACAAATGGCACGAGTGCCTGTTACTAATGCAGCGCTAAATCATCCTCAAGCGTTTCGTCCAGCATTGGAGCAGGGCAGGTGCGATGTGGAGAAAAAGATATTGCAACGAAGTACAGGGAAGTTTATTGGACTGAATTGGATACCTTGCGTAACTTCCGCTGTACTTCATAACATGGAAGCTGTACTCGAGACCGAGTCAATCTTGAATGTGCAAAGACAGTCACATGCACCTTGTTCAGTACGTTGACACAGTACCGGACTACAAGTGAAAACACTGTAAACTACAACTCGACGTGACCATTTTCCATAGAATATGAATAAAAGTAATGCGCAGTTATAAATAAGCACTTTGAAACGCAATTTCAAGCCATATTGGGGCTCACCTGTGTCATGCAAATGTCCTCCACGACGTCGGGGCTCAGAGTCGGATCTTCATTGACAATGTTGCTCGGTGTGGAGATTACCGTGGAGTGTGCATTGCGCTGGGCAGAGGCGACCAGCAGGAGTTGTTTAGTAAATTTCATTGGACAGCTGCACGATATTGAACATTCGCTGATTCCTTTGCTGATATCTTGCCTGTTCCTGCCGTTGCTGTCACTGTTGCTGCCACTTTATCAGCAATGTAATTTCGACTGCTCTCATATGGTTACTGTTGGCGAGCAGAAAATGAGCGTAGAAGTCAGGGCAGAATATTTGCCTTTTAGTATAGCAGGCTGTTCGACCATTTTGGCAGCATTGCCAGTACTTTGGGCAACCGCGTTGCAGAGGACACTCGCCCTGGTTGCGTTGACCAGAACTTGACTGGTCACAGTTCCTGTTCCTGTTAGGTAGCACAGGACATCGTGGGCTGAGGTCATCAGATGACAGCACACTTGCCTGCTGCATTGTCGTGAATGCATTTATGAAGCGCACTACTACGTAGCATGAATAGGTGGATAGAAATGACATTGTGTTCGTCCAACTGCCAAATTGTGTTAATACGTATATCGATCTATTTCCCGCTAGTATTGAGTGCGACAGATAACCGCCCACAGCCCGTCCAACTCTCCCACGTGCAAATGCGCTCTGAGTCCAGTGCCATAGAACAATTGCACAATTGCAAACTTTGCCATGCGCAGGTTTGTCACACAACGCCACCAATTTCGCAGTAACATAACAGGCGTAACATGTAATCTAGCATAGCAATAACACAACAGTAACAGGACAAAACGCTGTTTCTCTTTGTCATCTGTCCTATATCCCCCCACCCCCCTCCACCCGCCCCCCAACCACCTCATTCAATCACACTTCCCCAAACTCCTACCCCCTCAGGAAATTCCTGCGACATTTGCAAAGGTTGCAACGGACAACCTCACCCGACGCAGTGGGAGGTTGGGCATACAATGTGCAACATTGCCGAGAAATTCTTTCTCAGCAATGCTTTTTCTTGGAGTGTGAGAATGGCGTTGTGGCACCGCCCCAAGCCTGGGCCCACTCCCAACAGAGCTCCACACTCGCTAGCAGAATGGCATTCAATTGTGCAATATCGTATTGCTAAATATGATACTGCATCGTTAGAATTCGATTCCGCCAGGTATACCAAAACAAGCAAACAGGGGCCTCTATCATCAGGATCCCCGTATCCAGGACTGAATAGGAAACGAAAATATATCCAACTCGGTTCCGCTAGGCGATTCCAAAAGGATACCAGAGTCATGAAATGTTTGCCACATTGATGCTGATATGGCAATCTACGTTCTGGTCAGAGATCCTGACTAGAGTGTAAAGCGGATGCAGAAGCTGGACTTGGGGAGCCGCAATCACTGCCATATACAATGATTCTCTACGCATTACCATTTCGCCTCTGAACAGTTTTCCCGGGGCAAATGGGGGCAAGCAAGAACAACAATGTATTAAGTACTATAGCATTAATGTTGATTTCACTTTCCAGGAAGGGTGATTTCAGTCTGGCACAGCAACCATGTTGAGCTGACGAGGCCATGCTCCTGCCTAACTGTGTCTGGATCAACATGGTGCTCAGCAGCAATGGGGCAGCCTGGCATGTTGTCAAACCTAGCAATTGCAACAGAGTACTGAAACAGTGGCTCGATCGCGCATTGCGCCCCAGCCACCTTTTCAACAGCAACGCATGCATTCCGTTCATGCCAATTGAGATGGATGGAGATGGTGTTACTGGTCCAGCGGTCTGACGGCACAAGCAGAACAATGCAACCCTGCAACTGTGCTCACACCTGCACAGCCCAGAACAGCACAGACGAGCACGAAGAGAAACATTCCAAAAGTACCAAGCCCCATCACACCATCACGAGCCTCACCCCCCCAGCTCTTAACCCGCAGCTCCCTGTGTGCCTGTGCAACTGCGCACACGAACACATTCATGAAAGTGCACAAGAGCACCTCATAACAGGTGGACAGCCACCCAGTTTTCTTCTGCTTTGTTTGGGCTTTGGCTGGATAACAGAGACACAGTCCAGGAGAAGTATCTTGTGGACTTGTCTCAAGTTCTGCCAGCAAGTTACAGAGGCAGGACACGTTGTACCATCCACAGAAGCTCAACAACAGCAACAACATGCACACCCACTCCCTGCTCGTTGGAATCCGTCAATCACCAGATCCAGATCCACTCCCGCACTCTGCAGCGCATCTCTTCCCTGGGTTGGAAGGAGTCAAGCTTGGTGGATGCCCAGCCACAAATAGGTTTGCGAGGATGGTGCCCTATGTTGGGTTCGTACAATGCCCGGGTCGATGGTGCTGGGAGATGGGAGGCCAGAATCAGGGTTTTGGACCAGCAGCCACTGAAATGCGCTAGATTGTTTGAATGAAGGGCTGGTCACTGCAATGGCACATATGCGATGCCAACATGGAATGGGCTGCTGGGCCGTTGCCGTGGGTTTATCCGCACAACTCGCACCGTGGAGACATCGCTTTTCTGAAAAACTCACTTTCACACTGCCATTTCAATGGCAGCAATGATGAAGGCCAGTATCTCAGGAGGGGGCCCACTGCAAATGCAGACTGGGGTGTTAGGTGAGTACTCGCTTTCGATGCCATTCACACTAATGGCAGGAAAGTTGGCAGAATGGTTTAGAATGGTTTCCATAGTTGCGTGTAGGAATGAGAGACGAACGTTGAACAGAGAGCACATGGCAGCCGTCAAGGCCTTAATTGGCTGTGCGTGGCTCTGTCCACCCCATAACAACATTTTCACAGGTTGCCTTGGGCTCGTTTTCAGCAAGGACCTGGTCAAGGCGCCCTGGGATGGGCACTTTGCAAGCTCTCAGTCGCAGGCCTCCGCGTGTCCTGGGATCCAAGTATTGGAAAGTAGGAACACAATATACACTGGGGTTCCAGCCCCCAGAGGGGAGGCCCCTGGGCCAGCCAAAGTTGCATGGGGTACAGGGTTCAAGTGACCTTTGAATGCACAAGGGCTGCTGGCCACCAGCCATGTCAGCTGCCAGCCATCTGAGGGACTGAAAAGGTGCTGCAAAGGGAGCATTTTATGACGTGTTGTGGCTATGCCTTACAGGAACGGCTCCAAAGGTTGGAAAATGCGAAACTCGGCGCCCACAAGGCGGGAATACCGGCCACAGCGCCCATCCGGCGTGCACCGCCTGCTTGTCTCAGCACGTACACCTGATTTTACCACCACCCAGTGCAACGCCATCCACCTGGAACCAGCATTTTCACCTTGGAGCCAGGGGAGTCGATCTAGAACCTTCCACACATTTTCTTCCCCTTAATTCAGCAATACCCCTGCAGTTCCCCACCCACCACGCTCTGGGCCTCCGTTCAAGAAAATCGATCAGGGGACTCAGCCAGCCAGGCCAGCATCGGTCCACGATCTTTTCACCCTTACCTTTTCTCCCGTATTTTTTCCCCTATTTTGAGGCGCTGTGCTGGGGGATGCCCGCCGACCCCCCGAGGAGGAGGGCGCCGTGCAAAAGAAAGCGCCCGGGGCGTCACGCTGCGTTACGAGCGTCACGCCGAGTTCACCAAAACGAGGCGCGGGCGCTCCTTTCCGCGGCCGCGACCAGCCACCCTGCCAGACTTGGCTACCCTCCGGCCATTGTGTCCCAAGCCGCAACATCTTTGAGCGCCCGTGTCGCGGCCGGGATGCAAGTCAAACGCTGGCCACCACCGGTCGAGGCCTGTCGCCGGGCGCGGCGGGGCCTTGCCGTACACCAGTGCCGGCTATAGCGGTGAGCTACATCCGTTCTTTCTGAGGCCGAATTGCGGCCTGGCACGTGTTCGAGCGCACAGCTGGGCTGCGGGACTCTCAGGAAGCCCGCGGGCAACTCGCCGAGAGTGAGACCAAAACATCGACGGAGCATTGAGACATAAAGTCAACGGTCACAACTTCGCAATCTCGCGACGGCGTGCGGACCTCCGAGAGTTTCCGTCGAGGAGGGGATCGCGCTCCCGCGGCCGATTCGCCCGCCAAGCGCGCAGGGCTCTTTCGCGCGGCCGCGCCCAACGAATTCAGGTCCGCCGATGGGCAGAGAGTGATGGCAAAAGCACTCGCGTCGCCGCAACAGCCCCGTTTGCCCCAAACGCCGCCCGGGGCCCCATCTCCCCCACAGGCCCCACCCACGCACAAAAACTTTCCCCGAAAAATGCCCAAGGAAAATATAATGCCCCGCTCTCGCCGGAAGCCGTGCCACTCCCTCACCAGGCGGTGTCCGCAGTCAGGGTCACAGACCAGGAACTGGACCGCCTGGGCTGCGATCTCCTCATCGGGTTGCGGGTCCCGCTTGACGTCCACGCATCGGCTGCCCGGGAAGACGTTCCCGCACATGTGGTAGCTGCATTCGCACCCCGCCATGAGCTGCTCTGACCGGTCGTACCGGTCAACCAGGTCCGCGGCTACGGCCCTCACTAAAGCGGTGTACTTGGCCTCGACCTCCCGGGGCGAGGCGCCCCGCCCGCTTTGCGAAGTTTGAAACAGAAGCGCGAGACACAGGAGGGAGGCCGGGCCCGCACCCGCCATTTTGGCGCCGGTGGGCCTCCAAGATCAGCCGACCTCTCGGGGGTGGGGTTGCCTTGGGGAGGGCGTGGGGAGCCCTGCGCACTCGAGAGGTGCTCGCGTCACGGGCAACTGCCTCATGGCCCCGCCAGAAGTGCGTTGGGGGCCACAAGACGGCGTCCCCGCAAGACAAACAGGCCATCGAATCGGCATCATCTCAACCTCTTGTCAGTCTCTGTGCTCTGGGCTCTGCGGTTTGGGTCCAATTCCATTCGATTACGCGCTTGTCACATCATGACCAGGCGGGCGGTGTGTGGACAATGTGGGGCATCGCAGAGCCACTCTGCCCGACGGGATGGGGCAACGCTGTCGATGGCCAAATGCCATGTGACTGATTGACCGGTCAGTGTGCTGTCCCCTCCACGACATGCTGCGTGATGGCAGCGTCTCAGGAGGGGGAGAACGCATTCCCCTTCGCCAGAGAGGGGCGTCACTTACCCCGCGAGTCATGGTGCACAATACCGTCTGACAGTTGCGCCGTGCAACCGGACCGAAACCTTGGAAAGAAACCCGGAAATCAGAGAGGCCCGCCAAAGCATCCACTCACCCCCCCACCCCCCCACCCCACCCATTTTTAATCTGTCCTGCATCCCTCACCACGAAACAAAGTACTGCGAAAGGCTGGGATTCAGGTAACTAAGGACTGTGCCAACAACACTGTCTCAACGAAAGTACCGTTCACTGCAATCCACCATTCGGGAACGGCGCCTCATCTCCCGTTTCGGACTGCTGGAATGCCAGAATCAGCGGCTTGTGAGGCAGGCTAGCCCCGCGATCCTGTACCCCTTGGGGCGTACAGCACCGTACTCCCAGTTCCAGCGAACATTTGAATTGGGACTGACCGCCCACGACCCGACTTGGTTGAGTCATCCCGGTAAGGATGCACCTCTCAACCAATCGGTCAGCCGAGGTGTGTGTCTCGGCTGGCTGGCGTGGCCCACACCAGCGGCGCTGCCAGTGAGGCTGGCGTCTGCTCAAGCTGCACAGAATCGTAGCGGTTGGCACCCGCCACGCTGTTGTACCACCCGCGACTGTGTTAAGCCGAGCCCCGAGGCGAAGTCGCCGATTGTTATTTTTCCGAATTGGGGGCACTTTGCACTTCCCTTGCCGGGCATTGACCGGATTACGGCACGTTTCAGCGTTTCCTGCTGGATCTATGTCCGAATTGGGACACTTTCTGGCATTTCGAGCCGGTCAATGGAAATCTGGTTGGGACCAGAAACGTCAATTCGGACACAGAAAACAAGAAAAAGAAAAAAAGCGCTGGTCCCCTTGCTCGCTTTTGCCGCTGCTGGACCGATCCACCCTGCTGGACGGGCACAGGACCAGCATCCGAACGCCCCATGACCCATGGGCTAAACCGCGTGGCAGCAGCCCGTGCATCGCACCCAAGGACACAGGCGTCAATCGCCAGAGGAGCGCCTCGAAGCGAAGGGGAAAGGGTGTTTTCGTGTCTTGGGATGGCAGCGCTGCACGCAGGCTCTGAGTGCACCCCACTTGGCGTGGTAACCCACAGCGATCACCTGGCCCCAGGTGACATTAGTCCTGAGTCTCTTACTAAATTTCTGTGGCGTTTTGGGCATTCGTTGAGCTTACACACGATTTGGCGACAATTGGGTAGTCTCTTAGCGTCATCAGTCCTGAGTCTCTTCCTACTTTTCAGTGGCATTTTGGGCATTTGTTGAGCTTATAAGATCTTGTGGCAATTGCGTAATCTCTTAGCGTCACAAGTCTGGGCCACCACAACCCAACCTCACTGGCGTCAAGTTGATGCTAAGCGTACCAAATCAACATACACTAGGAAAAGAGGGCCAAATAACACGTGCTCAAATGTGTACAAAGTTTACGGGTTTGCGTTATTTTCGTGTTTTTAGCATGCAGAACACTGATCAAATGCGTACATGTGGGTTCGCAGAACGTGTTATCTGGTCCTTGTTTTGCTAGTGATACCACCTTCCTCTAAAAGTCAACAACAGCTGCCGGGCGGCCCTGCTAGCGCCAACAGAGGCTGGGCCGTTACCTTGGAGGGCATCCCTGAATGTAAGAATGTCTGGTGGAAATGATCAGCTGCGCATTGGTTCATAGTAGGGATGGTACTCGGGCTGAGAAAACTGGACCTGGGTACCTGGAGTTTCCAGAACTTTGGGACCTGGGTTACACTCGGTATCCGGGTAGCCCAGGTACACTCGATACCTGGGTAATCACGAATAAGCGGGTACAGTATAGGTCCCTATATAGCGTCCCCCAATAGCGCCCCCCCTTTCTTGGCTTGTCATCATTTCTGCAGTACTTTATGCCGCTTTTTTGCGCAGTGGGGCCCGTGGCCTCTACACTGGCGGCCTGTGTACCCCCTACACCGGGCAGCCAGGGATCCCTACTGTACCCATGTACAGCCAGTACCTGGGTCTGGGTATATACCCGGGTACGGAAACCAGTTTGCCGCGCTTGCCCGGCTTCTGTCTAACGGAGTCACGACGGCGACTCTGCAAACGGTGCACAGTTTTGGGGACGGAGGTGGTGGCGCCCGTCCGTTTCCGCGAACGTGGTATTTCGTGAGCGGACGGACGGTGCGTCCGCGAAAGGGCGGGTAGCAGGCCTCGCCGGGAGGCAAGAGATCTGCAGCGGATCCCGGCCTGTGCACGGAGAAGCGTGGTGCCCGCTTTGGGTTGTGGGGGCCGCCGAATGATGCCACTCGCGGGTGCCAATCAGGGCACCCGCGGGTGGTACCAGTCGGTAGCCGCAAGGAACAAAAAGACGGGAGTGGGAGCCGACGCTCGGCCTCCCGCTCCTGATGTCCCAATGCGTGTTCCATGCCCAAGCTCTGGGCGCCGCGCAGGTCGTAATTGACCTTGGCATCCGCTCCTCGTGGGCGCCGACTGATGCCACTCGAGTGGCCTTCCCCCAAGCTCGGGGATGGCAGCCAGGACACCCGCGGGTGGCACCAATCGGTGGCCGCGAGTGGCACCAATGCGGGAGTGGGAGCCAACGTACGGCCTCCCACTCTCGCTGTTTTGTGGCGGACGCAGCCACACACAGCGTGGACGGTGGTGACCTTCGTGAAAACCAACGCGGTGAGAAGCAACACGCACTACCGGACCTGGACTACCGAACTGCGGACCCGGACCCGGACCAGGTTGCTGGCAGTATCCGGACAATCCGGGCACCTACCTGTACCCGCCTATACCCGGGCACAAGGGTAGTCGGGTACACGGGCAGGCGGGTACAAGCAAAACCAGTACCCGGCCCAGGTACGGGGTATCCTGTACCCGGGTACCATCCCTGTTCACAGTGATCACGCGCAGCAGACAGGCGATCAATTCCGGAGTCAAGAAAATTGCACTTCCTGCACACAGAGGTGTTCTGTCGGCGAACGGCTACTGGCAGCTGCGGATCCAAGACATGTTGTGGCGTCGCTTCCCAGGATGCCTCGGGTATTCCATGTCTTGCACTTCTCTGAAGCACATCGCAAAACACAAAAAGACAGAAAAACAACAGAAAGACAAAAGAAAGACAACAGAAAGACTCTCATAAGGTTAAATCGCTAATGTAGCAGAACAAGCCCTTGTACCTCAGCCGGCAGTGATGGCGGAAGCTTGCAGCGTCGGGTACAATGGCTTCATTGGAAGGTCTGCAATTGTCGTATCCCCAATCACCCTTGCCCAAATCCGCACAGAAAAACGCGCTGCCGCCAGGGCATATGTATTTGACAGCAGCGTTCAGGCAGGGACGAGCCCATTTCCTGCCCCGATATTCCCCAGAATCTAAAAAGTAAATTGCATGGAGTCACTCGCAAACGCGCCAGATCTCCGCCTTGGGCCTCCTCGGCCTCCAGTCATCCACCCCGCTCTGGCTCCCCTCCAACATGCCACGGAGCCCCTTGACGACCTGCCCACAACCCGGTCGATCCTCTGGACGACTCTCGACGCACTTACACACGAATTCCCACAGCGGCGCAGGGCACAGCCTCTCTGCAGCTGCGCTTTCCACTTCTAGACTCCCCGTAATGCATTTTAACAGCACTTTCCCCAGGCCATAAACATCGATTTTTTCGGCGTCAGGCTGGGCTCGGCTGGACTCGCTGATAGCGAGCTTACCGGCCTTCGCTGCCAGAAGACATTCTGGCGCTATGTATCCTGGAGTGCCAAGCGAACCGGTGCAGACGTTCTTTGTACCAGTGTGCCTGGATTCTGAAAAGCCCGCCAGCATTGCGTTCTGCGCCTCGTCCAGCAATATACTTGAAGGTGTGATGTTGAAATGGGCGAAGCCATGCTGTTGCAGGTGGCACATGCCCCTGGCGACGTCCAGCCCAATCTTCACTATGTCGCCGTAGGTCAGGCCAGGTCTAGACTCGCACAACAGTCGCCCGAGATTCGTGGCCATCAGCTCCTCGACGATCATCGGATCGTCCCCCATGCGGCCGCCGATTACCCACACGATGTTAGGGTGGTGGGGCAAGGCGGTCAGCGCGCTGCATTCCCTGTTGATTGCCTCCACGCAGGCCTTGTCCCTTGTGTCCAGCGCCGACTTTATCGCCACCTTCCAGGCGCGTCCATCTTTGTCGAACCACACGCCCTCCCTGACGGACCCGTGCCTGCCGCGGCTCTGCCACCCACCCCTCAGGACGACGGCGTTGTCTATGTTCATAATGGGTCTGTCTGCAGTGTTCTGGGTGCTGGTACCTTCCGATTTGGGGCGGAGAGATTTCTTTGCCGAGCGGTTTTCGGGCAAGTGCGGGTTGGCGCTCGTGCTGGCCTTCCTGGGACGATCGCATTTCGCTCCCCTGTGCTGATCCCTGCAGAAAAAGGAACGAAGGATATGTGAAGAAATAAAACTTAGCACAAATAGGCAGTGGTAATCACAACCACCAGAGCAATATTACCTAGTTTTGCCCGCATGCTTGAGATATGTAACATGTTCAAGAATGTGTGCTCCACGAATGTAGTGTGCGCCAGACAACACGCTGTCGCGTTCTTGGAAGAATCCCTTCGGGAACGCTCGTGGCAGCTCGCACCCTTTGCCCATCAACAACAGATGCTTATATTGAGCCAGGAAAACCAGAGAGCTATGAGGCAAGACAGAGAGAGGCAACAGATTGACAAGGATTGCAACACTGGAACAAGATAGCATCGAAATGGCAGTAACCCTGCTTATAACGGCGATGCTTTCCCTGCCGTATTCCTGCCATATTTGGCAGATTTTTGAAATTTGAAAGCACTAAAATGTTGCATTCATTTCGTATTTATGGTGTAGTTGAATCGCGTTCAAGCCGCATTTGGCTCGCCTAGTAAGGCAGTTGACAAAGGACACTTGGCACTACCATTGGATGCCTGAATGGTAAAGGTGGCAAAAAAATGACGCCACAGCAGCACCCATACGAGGCAAGCAGCAGCAGCGGGTTGGATGCTGGTCTATCATCTTTGGAAGCTGCATCCCTGCTTAAGAATTGCCTATTCGTGGAAAGGGCGCTAGGTGCTATGGATGGAATGGACCAGCGCGTTCATCTGTGAATGCTAAGCCTGCTGGGCTCTTCGTAATTACGAATTACAAGGATATAGCCTTCACGCTGCAAGGACTTCGTCCCTGCACGCTTGGGGCACGTGCGTTGAACGTGCTCCACGCCAAGAGAGAGTCGACATATCGGTATATGCCGCCTCGCACCCCGAAGCAGCTTTGGCACAACACTGGATTACGGCAGAACTGCAGGATTGCATGGTATGACACATAATGACATCAAACGCACAAATCCTTGCGGCAAATGCAAAATGAATGCTGTTCCTCACCTCTTCACAGAGTCGGCATACAGCTTTTTAACGTAGCCCGGCGCTTTCACCTCCACTATTGCCATTACCGCAAAGATAGCCAAAAGGAGCACGTCCATCAGGGTGCGGGAGAACAACCTTATGGAAGGCCAGTAGTCGTCCTGATGTCCACAAAATTGTGTCAGCACTGAATCAGACACTCGACATATTTAGCACCCTTCCCGTGCGCTCTATTGAAAACACAGCCAAAGGTAGGGCAGCTTCTGTGAGGAACAAAGCGGTTAGGGCACCACTCCCGTGAGTGCGCTGCGCATTACACTGCTTGCACCATGCAAGCGCAAATGGTGTCGCGATGGCGCATTTGTGCTTCCATTCAGTTGATGTGGACTCGGCTGGGTTCCTCCGCCAAAAAGACGGGAGGGATGCCTCGACGGCAGCGACTTTGGCACGGCTCTTTGGCAATGGACATTTGCCGAAGGGGATTCAATTCGACAAAACACCTGGCAAGGGCCGTTCAATTGGGCTGTCCGTGTATATGCCGGCCGACGGTTGCATTCGCCAGCCCCGCCGCTTTCGATGCGTATCTCAAACCCCAAACCCAGGCGCAACCCCACCAACCCAATCCCCAGCCGCGTTGGGATAAGCCGCGGGCCCGCGGCCCCCTCCCCCGACCCCCCTCGTTCCGAAAAGCGGCCCGGCCGTGTCGGGACGAAAGCACCGCGCCGCTGCGCCCGCAGACGCGGCCGGGGCGAGGACGAGGCGCCCACGAGGCCAACCAAAGTGAACGTCACGCGGTTGTGTTGACCCACGCCACTGACGTCAACGGCGTCAGCGTCAAGCGCCGCGGCCCCAAGGAGCCTGGCCTTTGTCGACGCGAGGGGCCCGCGTGGGGAGCGCAGAGCGCCGTTTTTTTATCGCACCCGTGCGTGGGTGAATCGGTGCATCTGCCTGAGG